GCTTGATTGGACTCTATGCGGGCCAACATTATACCAACATGATATCGCAAACTCTCGGGCTGTATGATTATATTTCAATATTTTTCAAGAGCTGGTTCACTTGAGACAGAGACGATGCCTTACCCCAAGTCGCACATAAACGTTTATTTTCTGTTTGCCAAACTCCAATTGCATAATTGCCACACAGCTGTGACTCTACTTCCATGAAGAACTGACGATATAGACAGGCGGGAAGAGCGCCCTTTTCAGACACTTCATCAGAGCGACATCGAAAAGAACTCAGTGCCAAGCTCGAGCTTTTAGTCCAATAAGGATTTCCTCGTGTAAGTTTTCGCTTCTCTGCTCATTGAGGTATCGCCGCCCGCGAAAAGCTATATTTCAATCGAAGCCTCCGCTTCCGAAATAATGAAGGGGTCAGTCAGTATTGAGCTTAATGTCACACAAATAATTACAACGAAGCAGCCCAAAGGGGCTGTAACAACCTCCGCGCCCAAAGTATCACTATTTTCTCGGCAGTAAATTATCTTCGCCTTATACCTGAGGACTTTCTTGCTTGGGATGTTAGTCGACCTTGACGGAGTTGGCCATTCATCGCGATGAATTTAACAAAATGTAAAAAAGTAATATTAATCTCGAGTGAACCAAGAAAGCTTGAAGCTTTAAGCCGTGGGAACCTGTATTACAATTCCGTTCTACGTCTTGGACTTTCAATGAACCATTTCACATCCAGATAGATTTCGATATCGCCCCGAGATCCCATCCCACCCCATCAGTACTCATGACTCCGTTGCACCAAACCCGAACGCCTCTTGAATCACGCCAAAAACAGGGGTATACTTCACGCAAATTGATCGTTGTGGGGATAGGTCGCCGCCTTCACAAAGTAGGTAGGCGGTTCAATGTGGCACCATTTTTGTGTCTTACTGTCCCGTGCCCATCCATCCAAAGGCCACACCTGCAGTTAATATTATTATTGCAGTAAGAACACCAGCGCCGGCTCGGTCACCTGTCGTTACAGGCCCCAGGTTGTCGCCAATATCCCCACTTCCCACACCAGCATTTGGATCTCCGACGCTGGTGCCGCCTTTCGTACTGGTCACGGGGTCTCTAGTTCGATCGATGAGGAGGGACGAGACAGCTGCCAGCACGTCCATAGTTTGCCCAACTCCAACACTGTTGTCAAACTTGCCACTGGCCCACTGGAAACCACACGTACGGCCATTGCTGCCGCCTGTGCACTGGTTGACGGCGGCCTGGGCCGATTTCTTGAGAACTGGGAGAATCTTTTCGGCTGTAAAGGGAGCAATCTTCGTCATGGTCGACATCCATCTGTGCACGTAACCCTTGAAGCTCAACATGTCGGTAGTGCAAGTCATATGCTCCTCGCAAGAGACCTCGGACATCGTGTCATTGGGGAAGAAAACCCGAAAGGTGGCATCAACTAAACCGTTGACTCGTTCTTCCCATTTCGCGTCGCCTGTCTGTAGGTATACTTGTGAGGTCCCACTCTACAAGGGCTTTGATTACAGGGCACTTACAAAGTTATACATGTATGCGGCCCCTAACAGAAAGACACCGTTGTTGTATGAGAATTGAGCGCGGTTGATATCGGTGCAGTTCGATTCGACGTGGGCGCCATCGAATATGTTGTAATCTTTGTCCATAAAACCGACACTAACAACCCAGTCCCACGTCTTCTCGGCCCAGTCGGCATAGGTTTGGTTATTGGTGTAACGCGCGAGGCGAGCACCGAGGTTGAAGAAGATTCCATTGGCGATGCCTGATATCCATTAGCACGAGCAGCACAGGAAGACCGCAAGGGCTCCTACTGTTCTTGTAATCGTAGCCATTGTTCGCAAATGGAATTTGCCATCGCAGCCCCCCGCCGCACGTGGCATCATGGCGGTCAGGATCAGCTTGAGTGTTCCAGACAGCTTGCGCCAGAGCCAGCCATTGCGGCTGGTCTTCGGGGGGGTCTGGGAAGTTTTCCTCGGCAGCCTGCATGGCAGACATTCCCCAAAAGCCTTGGTCGTCGTTCCCTAGAGAGGCGGTGACGTTGGGGGGCATGTAGTTGCGGCTGGGGCCGACTTGGAACAACATAGCCTGACTGACAACATCATTGTATGTAGTGTCGCCGGTCAGGAACCAGTAGTCGATCATGGTCCCCCATAATGCGCCGGCCTCCCACCAATAGTAATCCCCAGCAGGAGGTGGACCGGGCAAGATGCCAGGCGTCTGACCAGACTGGTTGCCATGGTAGTATGACATGAGGTCGTAAGCGAGAGTCTTCGCGGCGGAGATGATGTTGTCTGCAAAATAGGAGCAACTCAGTCAGAACTTGAACGGGTATTGTGTATCGGGTAACGGGTATCAGGACAAATGAATAGTCGAAGAGTCGCATACCGTCACTGTCAACCTTGAAAACCTGCGCAGATACCAGCCCTGCTGACAAGAGCAGACGAAGTGCTATCGATGCCATGGTCATGCAAGTCGAGACTGTTGGGTGTTAAAAAATGGCAAGAAGGCCACTCGTGGTAAGAGGAGTGAGCGAGAAGGACTACAAGCGCAGAAACGAGGGAAAAGTCAACACAGTTGGGTGCAAAGGAATGGGCCGGGTGCGCGCCGGCAGCGCCACCTCGTTATCGTCAGAAATGAGAGCAGGTACGGGCTCTGACTGCGGAGCCTTGACATTCACAATAGTCAGATGCGTAGTAGTGTCACCAGGTGAATGTGGTGGTGTCTGACGGTGGATGATGGTGTTAACGAAGAAAGACATGAATAACAAGTGTAGTAGGAGAAAGAGAGTACCAAATCCTGGAGCCTGGAGGGGTGGTCTAATGTTTTCGTCACTGTTGGTTGCTATCTGTTCCTCTAATCTAGGTACTCTCTACTCGTACACACCACCTGCTTCGTATGTACCATTTCTTCTGCAAATGATGAGCGCCACCGTTCGTCCGCGCACACTGTACGAGAACAAGCAACGATTTGCTTTGCTTAAGGTAAGCATCAGGTAGAGGGAATTCTGCGCATTTTGGCGGGAAGGTCCGTACTCTGCGTCTCGTACTTAGTTAGTACTGCCCAGTGTAAGACATGGGATAGCTCCATGCCGGATCCCCCCAATCCAGAGCACAGCCAATCAGTCGGGACAGACCGGATCTGCACCGCTAAGCCTCTGACGGAAGTCTCTGGAGTCTAGACACTGTGGTGGGCCTCCATTTGGGGCTTGGCATTAAATGACGCAGCGCTAGCTGCTTGCTATCTTTGTCCACTAGCCCACAGACGGCCTAGCTCGGACGAAACAAGCTTTTAACCCCATGCCAGAACCCATGGGCTATGAACCGTGTCTAGGTACCCTGGACTTTCGCCTGAACAGCTCCACATGAGACTATAATTAATTATCATGAATGACTTCAAACTGCCAGAAGAACAATTTGTATGTCGAGCTAAGGCTGCGTTGCTCCTTGTTCATCTAAGGTCACCCATCATGATACTATGTCCGCGTAGGTATCGGAGTTCGGCATGTCATACGAGCATACAAACATGCCGATCATGGAAAATCCTGTCATGTTTAGCGCATCCCCCTGGGTCCGGGTAGACGCGTACGAGTGCGTATGCGCACGTACACGTGCCGCTCAATGTGAGCGAAGGTGGTCAGATGACGTTGTTATTCGTCGAGGTCTGCAGCAGGACTTCGCCGCGGGCGTTGATTTTTTGTTGTCAGCGGGGTTGGAATCACCGCAGGATCTGGGCCGTTGAGGAAGACACTGCGTTTTGATTGTGTGGATATAGAAGCGGAAACATATATTGAATTATAAGTATCATTCATCTAGGTGAGTAGGCTTCTAGCAGATATGTTTTGTGTGCTAAGCTTGATAACATCATGGCCGTTGTGTACGAGGTAAGGCAACGCAGTGCAGCTCTGGAGCTATGTAGGTACATGTACGTTCTACGTGTTTGTGTGTACCTAGTATGTATATCGTGATTATATGATAGTTCCCGACGATGAGGTAATTAATGGATGAACCGTCACTCTTACTATCAACTAGATGCGGCTGCATGGATGTTCGTTCGCAGACCATCATCCGGATGGACCTGCATTCGGCCATGTGGCTACTAAGCACACATGTGCTCACTATATGTTCGCTGTCTTGCACGTGTAGGGATCCCTCGTGTTGGGGATCTGACTTAACCACCGTTGCGTTGATCATACACAATCATCAATTCCCATCACTAAATACCCAGCTCCTTGGTTTCGTTCACGATTGTGCCTAAAAGCTAAATAAACTCTCTTCTACTGGTATGATAAGTTTGTTGATTTTGTCTAAAATTAGCATGCCGATAGATTTGAGTCTGTACTGGATACATGTACGCTTCCTGTCCCGTTCCAGCATGCATGGGTGTCGGCCTGGACTTTGTAGGCATATTCAAATGAGACTGATTCAGAATGCGTTATTAGGTCGTGGGGGAATGTGTTCTAGGTTCACATTATTACCACACACTACGTATGATTGGGCCCAAAAGAATAATCAAGAGAAACAAAAACTGTTCCAATCGCGGGACAAAACGGTTGTCAAATGCCGCCCAGCATTAGGGAGCCATACGGGCCTAATATAGATTGCACACTCTCAGAGTTTCAGCCTCCTTTATCAATGATTCGCATGGATGTCTTCGAGGTAACTAGCGCCGACCTTGCATGGCTATCCTATTCACGTTCTTGATCAATTGTCTGTGGGTGGTGGTATAAGCCTAAGTAAGCTCAGGTGCAAGATATGCAGCTCAATTGTTGTTGTGTTCGAGGTGGATGCGGCTACACTATGAGGAGGGATCAATCACCAGGCGGGAGGCCTTGAGCCAGTGCACCGCCATTTCAAATAATCGAAGAAATTAGATGACGAACAGAGAAAAAAACAAAACAGTTCGCAAACCCCTCTTTAGGCTACTACATCTGCCTCCCGAAGATCAGGATGACTCCCGGGTTGACCCAGGAGGAAGAGATACCCCCCCATGGGAGGGATTCGAACCCCCGACCTTATCGTTCGCACTGGCGTGCGCGATGAATCATAAACCCCTAGACCACCGAGGGCATCTGACTTCTGGTACTATGGCACCCAAACTTGATACTTATGGCCTACCCTTGCGGCCGGGGGTCAGTGGACGCGAGGTATAGCCGGGGGAGTGATACCTTGGGAAGGTGGGGGGGTTGCTGCGACTGCCATATGTGCTTTGGGCAAGGGACAGGAAAGAGGGAGGAAGGAGCCTCGGTGAGAAGGAGCAGGGGAGTGGACTGCCGTCACCTGCTGGCTGAAACCGAGGTATTATAGTCACGTCCCATGCAGCTCTGCCGAGGTGCTGTAATGATATTGATAAATATGATGAGTGATTAGGGCTTTAGAAGTTACGTAACCAACACGGCGAGGCTTATTGTATGCTGGTTGAACAGAGTGATAATGTAGAAACTGGAGGGGGAAAGGGAAAGGCTCACAACCGGAAAACTCGAAACTGTGAAGAAAAAGATCAGAGCACTATTGATAGGTACCTTGTCCTTATTGCATAAATGTGGCCTGGGCAGATTTTGGTGTCCAACTATGAATGGAGGCAGTCAAATGAAAGAGGTCGTATAGACTTTTCAAGTTGTCGTGGTAATGCATAAGCCTATGATAGAAGTTAGGCATATCAGCGGCGAAGATACAGCAGTAGCAGCTTGGAAAGACTGATTAAATGAGAGGGGTTGGAGCCTCAAGAAACTCAATGGCCACCTAGGGAATTTGGTAAATAAGGATGTTCACGTGTGTCGGCGCGCCAACAAGACTACCTTGGGTAACATCCGCTGGATAGCAAAAGAGCCATCAAATTGCGACATGTAGAAGGCGGGTTTGCAGATGTAATGATCGATCTTTAAATATGATGGACATCACCTGAACGTAATTTAAATGAAGATGCCACGAAAGAAAAGAGAATAGAAAATAAGGGGTTTGAAATAAACGACGTGAGAACATAAATGCCTTGATGAAAAATATCAACTATCAGATCGGGTTGAACTTGCCACGCTCCAATACGAGCAAAAAATCACAACGACCCTCGGACGCAAGTGTATTACCACTTGACCATCTTGGGGGATTCATCGCGCACGCCAGTTAACCTACCCATACGTTGTCTGCATATATAAGCCTACTATCGAAAGCAAGCTGGAACTTTAAATTAGACAAACCAGGGATATGTCCCTGGTTTCTTGGTGCCGTCTAGAACATAGATGAGGAGTTGGGTAGATGGGATGTTTGTACAATATGATCTTCCGTCCAACTTGATCATATTCACTGGCCTACTGGTTCTTGGTACGAATCCTCGCTACAATGCCCTCATTCAGCAAAAAGACCGTAGGTGGATAGGAGGGAACGTGTTACGAAGGACTGTCGTCCACAGGGAATAGAACTCCAGGGCTGTGTTTCCGATCTGGAGTGAAGTATCAAAGCAAAATCTAGCGAGTACCGGACACAGTCAACTGACCTGCCCGGTTGGTGCTGAGCTGCATTCCTCAAGACTGGCCAGTCGGGGGAGAACAGGATAAGTGGGTTCCACACCTTGTTCAACCTAAAAGGTAACGCCTCAGGTCATAGTAGCAGCCCAGCGCACCATTCAAGATCTCGTCAAAGTACGGTCCGAGGTCAAGAGCAAAGATGGTTGTCGCATCGAGTTGGGGTCGGGCGGTGGATATTTCCACAGAAATGAATGCAATCGTACTGTGAGGAAAGACTGGTTCCGGGGCAATTTCGCCGACACATTGAAGGAAACGTCCGCGATTGGCATTATCATTGGTGTTACAGGACCATGGCAAGTAACTTGAAGAATTATGGCGCATGGTTGTTTCCTTGCACCTCTGCTTGCCAATCGTATTGATGATGGCAAGATCTACCTACTCCATGGAGCCAGCCAAGTGCAATGTACGCCACTGCCTGGCATGCCCTCCAGATCAACAAGCGCACGGCATACTTCAGTCATAAGCAACACTCACACCACCATGGCTTCGCACGCTTGCGTTGAGACAGCCTGCTCGCCCGTGAAACAGGAATAGTTTTGGTATATTAATCGAAAGTAATCTTCTTTCCTTCAGATTTCTGAACTGCTCCAGTCTTATACGAGGCAACAGCTGCCTCGCCATATTTCGTGCCATCGCTTGCAGATTTAACAGACGTAGAGTTTCCATTCCTTTCTCCTCTTTCCCTTCTTTCTGGGTGGCTGCCATCCTGCTGAGGTCTTGCCTTGCCATACCTCTTCTTGTATCGAAGTTGATCGTCTTCTGCTAGCTCAATCTTGAGCTCTCGGCCGTGAAGCCTGTTAACCCACCACTTGCGCATCTGGAACTTCCTCGGTTCGCCGTCTTTCGTGTCGTCCGCGTCCCGAAAGTCATCTTCCGTCTCGATTTCCTCCTTAATTTTGACGAATCCCTTCACGGCCCAGGCTGCGGCATCCGCCTCCTTAAATTTCACCCAACCAAAACCCTTACATTTCCCGCTGTCCTCGAAAGTAGCGATCTTGGCCCACTCGATCTCCCCGCATTTGTCGAATTGTGCGCGCACGTCTTCCTCTGTCACCTGAAACGAGAGGTTTCCCACGTATATCTTTCGGCTTGCGTTGATCTGCTGCCGAGCGACAGTTGCGCCGGCTTCCGCGCCGTTTGTGGCACCACCCTCAGCGGCCGGGTCAGATGCTTCCTTCTGCGGTCGGCCCTCAAAAGATGTGGCATTCTTGATGAGGACTTTTCGGCCTTCCAGTTCCGTCTCGGTGAGCGCCGCAGCAGCGATAGCCGCGGCTTCGCCATCGAAATCGACGTATGCGAAGCCCTTGTTTTGCGGCTTTTGCGACCCGTCCCCGCCCTGCTGCCTTGCTTGCTTATTCCGTTCTTTGTTGGTAGGCAGGTTGACTCTTGTGATGTTCTCTTCCTTTATCGTGCCCCCGGAGCAGTCCACCAACCACTTGAAGAGCTCTACCCGAGTCAAGGTGAAGGGGAGGTTTCCTATCCAAATTCCATGTTCTGATCGTTTCTTTTCCTTTGTGTCTTTCTTCGTAGGTACCGCAAGCCCATCGTCGACCTCATCGTCACTTCCGGGCTTGATGGGTAAAGGTTTTCCCTTTTTAAGCAGACGTTTCGATTTTTTGGAGGGTGGTTCGGGAAGGTTGAGGTCGACCTCGATCTCGTCTAGTTGTGTCTTGCGCTTTTTGGGGTTGGAGGGGAGGTCGGCCGGCGACGCCGGCGACACTGGTTGCTCCGTGTCGAAGGTCGCCATAATGGGTAGCGAAATGCGATCCTGTATTCAGTAAGCCAAGTTCAAAATAGAAATAATCAAGCTCAGCTCGCCATCGCAACAATTTGGTGGTGGATTGGTTTCGTCGCAGTGGAATGCTGATGGTTTGACGCCGAGAACACAGGGATTCCTCAATACTAGAAATTTTTCTGGGTCCGATAAGATAGCGATGCATATTTATGCAGTTATCAAGACATGCACAATTCGGGGCAGGTCTGCCAGCGCCTCCCGGTGGCCGGAGCTCCAGATCCACAGGACATTCATTCACAGGTTACCCGGCCTTCAAGGTGTGGCTAGCCAGAGGAGAATCATTTCTGCTACCTAGATACCAAAACACTCATATTTCCTACAATAAAGCTCCTCGTCGTAAGTTCTGGTTGTCCGAACTACCTACTGCCTACCCTTACATGGCCTTGACCGCTTCAAAGTGAGCATATGATTCAATCAACTCAACTGACTGCGGCTAAGCATTGGTCGAGTTGTAGCCATCACGCGTAAAGTTTCTGCCGCTCTTTAAGAGGTAACTTAGAGATTCAAGCTTGAAAAAGTCATACTTCAGACAGCTTTGGTAAATTCCGCAATCAAATCAAATATGTCATCCGGTCATACACCAGCTAGCTTTCAGGCTGCACTCTTCTTGGCTTTAACGTAAACCCACGACAGAGCGAAATACCCTTATTCAGAGAGTTGGGGATAGCCAATTTCGAATTGTAGGCTTAGAATGTAGGTTATTGTTAGATTCCCGGTGGTTTGTACCACAAGCTATCATGGAAGCGCTCATTCATGCTTCCACTTCTCATCGTCCCGACTAACAACGACCTCGTGCACATGAGTCCGGTTCTCCACAACCTGCCGTCCATTGACCAGATCGTTCTCATCCGCCCTCTTCCCAGCCTCTTCCTCGTCGCTCGCAATGCCCGCCTTCACATGGCGCGCCACCAGCCTGCGTCTGGCGACCTCGAAATCCACATCCACGAACCAGCGTTCGTCCATGAGCGCCGCGGCCTCGCGCCAGGGGTCCTTTTCCAGGACCACGTAGTTGCCCTCAAAGACGATGATGCGGTTCCCCGGATCTATGACGATGTCGTCGTTCTTCGGATCCTTGACCGCGTGGTCGAAGGAGGGCGCCAAGATCTTGCCCGACGATGCCGTGAGGGGCTCGCGCAGCGCTTTCACGAGCGTCAGGAACGCCGCCCCGTCAAAGGTGAACTCGGCGCCGCGCCGCGCGTGCGCCCTGGTCGGGTCGGGCAGCGCCGACAGCTGTGCTCGTGTGAGGTGGTAGCCGTCCATCGGCACGAAGGCCGCGATAGGAACTCCGTCTTTCGCCCCGGGACTCAGGTCTGCGTGCCGCGCATTCAGGGCTTGTGTCACCATCTGCGAGAGGGTCGTCTTCCCTGTCTTGTGTGTTGGTGCCCGATACTCGTAGAGAGTGGTGTACATATATATAGATGGAACTGAATTAATCATATACCTGAGCCGGGGATACCGCCGATTGCGATCACTTTACCCAATGTTAGTAAGAGTTCGACATTATAGTAGTTCGTAGGCTGTAGCTATAGCACCTTCTGCCGTCTGACTGAGATGATGTGTTTCGCCCTTCTTTAGTAAATGATTCTACGAAATGAACTCACTGAATCGCCGGTCTGCTGGTGTTTCTTGGAACCTTGCCCATGCTTTGTCAACCAGGCGAGTGACTTGCTCGTCCATGATAGTCGATGGGCCTCAAACCGCGAAATACCCAAATCGAGATGAAATAATTGGCTTTCAAAATACGAGGATATCA